AAGGAAAGACAGGAAGAAACATTTTCACAGATAACATAACCGTGTGCCTACAGTCTGAAAACAGAAGTGAGTAGACATTTCTGCATTTTACTATAAAAATAATATGCATACACACAATATTTATACCTATCTTTTTATTCATCAGTGACACTGAATAGAAAGATAATTTTTATAAATAATTAAAACCAAATAGTGAACGGCTTGGATAAAGCCAGTTGCTGTAGCTGCCAGTTGGTGGTGGAAAACAATGGAAATGGATTCTTGCACCAACTGCTGTGATGGAAGCGTGGCAGGTGTTTTTGTTTGTTTGTTTGTTTTTGGCTAAATGCTGCTACTACTCTGCATAGACTCCATGCGTGGGGTTCAGTGTTTCCTAGGGTCTAGGTCACTAGGTGGTACAAGCCCCCCAAAATACTTGGGGCATTGAAGTATCAGGGTTGAAGTTAAATTCTGAATGATGGGTTCTATCACCCTGGAGCATAAACTCCAGGCTTGAAGATCAATGCCTCCTAGAGGTTGAAGGCCCTAGCAGCAGTGATGTTGGCTCCCAAAATATTCCGGGGGGCTGGGGGTACCAGAGAAAGGTCCTGAGTCCATGCATCAACTGAGTCCTCTGGATTTGCTGAAAACTTAGTGACAGTACTGCCCCCTAATGGCCAGATACCCTAGGTGCAGTAGTTAAAAAATAATTGGGGCACCTGATTGTGATGCACCCCATATAGAGAGCCACCTGAAGGGGGCCGCCAAAGCTGGCTGGAGCAAGAAACCCCACCTTTGGGTGCCAAAAGGAGATCTTGGGATGCTGCATCTCATCTAATACAAGGTATTCAAGTCACAGGTCTAGGCTGAACCGGGCTCCTGCAGAGCCACGTCCACTTTTGTCTTCCCAGGTTGAGAGAGACTTTTCATCAGGATATGACTCTGTATTCATTCCTATGGACTCACTCCTAAGGGTAGAGGATTCACTCCTAAGGGTACAGTTTCACAAACTGGCTGTGGGACCCGAGACACCCACTCTGAGCTGGGTGGTAAAAATAGCATTGCAGGTGTTGGATAATATAGACAGAGCCGTAGGGTGCTCCATCATGGGAGGCAGTGCAGGCTCCTGGACAGGCGATGGCTGTAACTCAATCACAGTACCTCAGAATCAGCCCGGGAGGCATTCTGGTGGGGCTGAAAAGCCCTCAGCGGGGTTTCAAGTGTGGAAATCTGAGACACTGGAGTGAGGAATGTCCCTGCATGGAGGACCCCCATGGTCCACGCTCCAATGCAAGAAAGTCAGGCATCAAGAAAGGTAGTCATTAAAGAGAGATCGCCCCCTCCAAAGGGAGGAGAATTCCCACTCTGCCCATAGCCCTGTCTGAGGATTCCGGAGGCTACGCCTCTCCCATCAGGACTGCTGGGTGGTTACTAACAACACGAGTAAGAGTAGAAAGTGGTAATTCACTAAGCCGACAGCAGGAGTCACTGTGTACTAACGTCCCAGCAGAACCCCTGATTTTCAAACAGCTTGACGATCATGGAAGTCGATGGTAACTTTGCTCTCAAAGATTCACTTTGCCTTTAGTACGTCCAATATAAGAGGCGCGTGTTTCTCACCAGTTCTGGTGATGTCTAAGTGTCCCACGCCTTTGCTTTTGGAACGTATTTGCTATCAACCCTGAGTACTTCTCTGCAGTCAATTGCTTCTAAGTTTAAGTTGTTTGTTACGATGTTAACAAGCAGTGAGGCAGACCCCAGTTTGGACCACTGTCCTACTGAAGTGCAAGATAGAGCAGGTCCCCAAGTTTGGCAGGGAATACTTGGATGGGCCACACATGGTGACCCGTCAGAGTCCTCTTACTGGACAAGACATTCGCTCATCGGCACCAGCAGCAGGGGTCTGATCTATGAAGAACCTCTGGAAAATCCAGATGCCAAGTGGTTTCCTGAGGCAGTAGCTTTTTGAAGGAAGGAGCTGGAAAAGCCAGTATCGCCACAGTGGCTATCACACAGGTCACAGATGCTCAGGCACTGCCTTCTAGCACCGAGGCTAAAAAGGCTGCACTTACTGCTCACAACTAGGAAAAGCCCAAGCACTCGCGATGCATACAGACTCCAGAGGCTGTTCCTGTGTTCCACACACACCCCCACACATGCAGAATTTGAAGAGAAAGAGGCCTCCTGATGGCAAAGAACTCTCCCACCAAATACGGAAAAGAGATTTTAGCTCTCCTCAGGCAGTACTGGGACACCTGCAAGTGACTGTCACGCACTGCAGGGGACATCAGAAGAAAGGCAGTCATGTGAGCAAAGGAAACACACTTGCATGTGAGTGAGCCAATGAGCTGCTGCCCAGGAGATTTTAGAAATGGCTTTACTGCCTCAGCCTGCAGAGATAACTAAACACCTTTTCTATAATGAGCCTGTGAGAGAAGGGCTCACCTACGAGGTTACACTGCACACGCCAATAGGTGGTGGCTGTTAAATCATGAGGTCATGCTCTCGGTGGAAAATTACTAAGGAAACATGTAACTCTACCCATCTGGGAAGAGGGACTTCAATGCAAATTTCTCAGGTATCTGGAGGAAAAGGACTGCATATTGTTATAAGAAAACTAACTCAGTCCTGTCCCCTCTGCAAAATGACCCTAGCAGTCACTCAGCCATCAGTCCACCCATCTCACTCCTGTACAAAGGAGAGGCACATGTCCGGGTAAAGACTGGCAGAAACACTGCAAGGATATGCTCTCAGTAAACAATGACACATGCCACTCTACTGATACTTCACAGGATGGACAGGAGCTTTTCCAACCTGAACAAAGACCCAAGACACGGGACCACAGGCAGCTAGATAGGTCTGTTCAGCTGGAAGTCACAGCCCCCATGGAATTCGATCCTCTACCTGTCAATCAAAATACCCCATTTCCCAGGATGCATCTGCTTCATCTGTGACCTGCAGAGGACACCATGAAGATACGGATACTGAGCTCCACATGGGACTTGGGGAGATGCCATCTAATTCCCAGGTAGCTTCACAACTGGAGGCACGATCCCCAAGCCCAAAAAAGTGACCGACAACTGGGAGACCTCTCTCTCTCTCTCTTCCACCATGGACCACGGCTGGAGGAGCAGCTCAGTGCTCTGTCTCCCCTTTCCTACTCCTGCTTTTGAGCATCTTCTGGCCCAATGGCTACCCATGCAGGGCATTTGTAGGGGGCAAACCATGCTCACGTGTGTGTGTGTGTGTGTGTGTGAGAGAGAGAGAGAGAGAGAGCTCACTCTCTCACCTTTTAAATAAATTTTATCACTTTGTGCACTTCATTGGTGTCAGCTCTTAGAATGTGTGGCTTTGTTGTGACAACAGCCTCTGTAAAAATCATTGCCCCTCCCGCTTTGTGCGCATCAGCTGTTGGTGCCTATGGTGCCGTAGTTTCTGTACAAATGTGCACGAGGTTTTCTGGGGCTCTCGGTCAGCTCTGCACAGTGCCCGCTGTGGCTGAGTCCCCCAGCCCTGTGGAGGGCAGCTGTGTCAGCAGTGGACGCCCACAGACCCTGTTTGGGGCCAGGTGCTGCAATAGCTGTCCCAGTTGCCACAGTGGCTCCCACTCCTGCTAACCTGGGTTCCCCTTCTCATGCATCCTGGGGACCTTCTGGGTGTTCATCTGGAGGGTCTGATGGTGACGAGAGCTGGGGAGGGGAGGAACAGACCTATTTCCTTCCCAGGAACACTCCATCCATCTCTGGCTTGAGGTCTGCTGGCAAAGGCCACACCACCAGGCCTCTGCCTGTGAAAATCTCCAGCCTAGAGGAGGGCACTGATCTTAGGGTCACAGTGACTCCCAAGTGTCAGGGGAACCTGCCACATGACCTCCTCTTCCCCACGGCGGAGGGACCTCCGACAGCTGTGTATTCCTAGAACCCACCTGAGGCTTCTCTTGTCAGACAGCCCCAGAAACCCATGCTCACTTCGGGTCCGTGCTTGGTGGGCATCGGTCCATCCTAGAAACAGGCTCTGGCCTCCCGTGGGAAGGCAGGCAGGGCAGGCACTGTGTCTGGTGGGAGGTGGCTTTCTCTATGAGTCTGCAAAGTAGGAGCTGCCACCATAGCAGGTGGATTTCTGAACTCAGAATGGCTGGCTCCTCAGTATCTTACTCTCAGACATCACAAACATCCCACTGGCCATCCCCGTTTGAATGTCCAGTTAATCATCAGCTCCTCCTGTGTGTCTGACCTCACCCTTCCCGTGCTGTTCGCTTCAGTGTGGATGGTGGGGCCCAAGGAGCGCAAGGGACAGAGCAGCCTGAGCTTGCACTGAGGGATAACCATACTGCCTGAGATTCGGCATGAGGATCAAAGAGCTTCAGACAATGCCTGGCACGCAGCAGGTGACTTCTAAATGTTTGCTGTTCTCACAATCACATAGAAGAAGCCACCTCGCCTCTCAGAAACTCAGTTCCTTGCCAGTAAAAGGAGGTGCTCAGGCTCTAACAGTAGAATTTGAGGATGAACAGAGAGGGCCTGCAATGAGCAGTGCAACATGGTGCCAGCACACAGCAGCTGCTTGGGAAAGCAAACTCCCTTCCGTTCCCCTTTGCCATGTCCATATCAAGGCCACACCATCCAGCAACAGAGTTTATCTTAAGTAAGCAGGAGCACTGTTCCCAGAGGGAAGTGTGCTTAGCAGGCCAGAGCCAGGGCGGGAGCAAGAGCCATCTGAGCTTGCCTGGAACCGACAGGTCCAAGGGCAGCACAGTCCCCTCACTTCCTTCTTTTTAAGCCTGACTGGGGGGCACAGGGCTTGGGCTCTGGCCCTAGCCTGACCTGTGGGCCACTGGACAGAGCTGGGCAGCTCTCAGAGATCTTCCTGGCTTCTCTTGTGTCATGAGAGAGTTGGGACAGGAGATGTCCACCTTGGCCCGCTTCTGGCCAGCAACCCCCTGCTGGTCCCCACCCAGGGCCTGTCCTCCTCCTCTTCCTCACTCTAGCGGCTCTCCCAGTCACCTCTCCCTCCATTGATACCATGCTTCAGCTCACGGCCATCAGGGTTTCATTATTCTCTGGCCCGGCCCAGCTTACTCATCCTCCTGATGCATTTCTCTGCTCTGCCTGATGAATGGTGAGGATGTGACATCTCCATGGCAACAGATGTTGATCCCGCAGTTGCTTAGCAATCTGCTGCAGGATGATGTAAGCCACACTCTGGTTTCCTAAGGGGCCTGGCATCCTTTGATGTGTCTGCACCACTGGGCTGGAGGGAGTAGGATGTTTTTCCTCTGCTTTGACCCTTTTTATGGAAATGTAGAAAGCCAAAGGAAGTGGAATTTTACCATCGGGATGAGAAACGTCACCATAAGGAGAGTAATGTGCTGGGAGTCAGAGAACTGGGTTAGCAGCAGGGATGAGACAAGGAGGGTGCCGTGCTCCTCTGGAGGCCAGGGCCGAAACTGCTGGGCAAAGACGAGTGCCCAGGGCTCTGCTGCTCTGCTGAGTGCTGCTGCGACAGGCCCCCAAGAGATGAGCCCTGCTCCCCCCGCAGCACCCCTCCCACGTGTGGGGCCCGGGACAAGAGTTGAAACGGAGGCCACATACTATGTATGACTTGAAATACGTACAATTGTAAACTGAGTCAACAGATTGTCAAATGAAGTATATTCTACCCTGGGACCTTGGCCAACACAGTGTCTCTCCCGATGCGGTCTACACCCTAATCCCCCAAATCTGTCAATGTATTCTGTTAGACCAAGGCTGTGGGCAGAGTTAAGTCACTAGTCTGTGCATTAGGGACGTCATACACTGGATCAGGTGGGCGGGGTCTCGTCATCACAAGGGTCTTTAGGAGCGGAAGACGGAGACAGAGGAGATGGTCAGAGCGCTGTGGCTTGAGAAAGCCCTGAGCGCCACCACTGGCTTTGAACGTGGAAGGAGCCACAAGGGCAGGAGCGCAGGTGGCCTCCAGAAGTTGGGAGAGGCAAGAAAGTGGATTCGTCTCGGAGTCTCCAGAACAGAAGGCAGCCCCTCCCCTCCCAGACACCCAGGGAGGCCTAGGAGGCCATGACACTTGTGACAACTGTCACAGCGGCACTAGGACAGTGTTGTCACATGCCCTGTGGGTGGGCCATGGACGTGCTGCTCAAGGGCCTGGCCCTGGAGATGGATTTTCTCACTTGAGTCTAAGGCAGGCCTGGTCCTACCTCTGCCGCCAGCACACACCCCTTCAGTGCAAAGCCACAGGGAGAGAAGACGTTCAAACAAATGAAATGAACAAAACCTTACCCGCTACCTGCATGCCCCAGTCCCGCTGTGCCACCAGCAGGGGAGGGAGGGCGGCTCTCCGGTGCTAGAAGAAATGTGTGTGCATGGGGCCAGTGCCACTGGGGCCCTTGCTCTCCTGACCCTGCCACCAGTGGTCCCTGTGCCTCGGGTCTTCACCTGTGAGATGAACTTCAGCAATGGCCCGGGTATGGATTTGGTCTCTCCCTTTCTGTGCCTGTCCAGTCAATCAGTAAACTGGCGTAGTACTGGGGTCCATTCTGAGCACTGGCGAACTACAAAGGAATCAATGGGAAAAGGTTTTCTCCCATGTACTCGTCATCCTGCGCCTGCAGAGTCCTGTAAGTTCAGAGTCCTGTCCACTCCAGGAAGCCTTCCGTGCCCAAGGCCAGGTCTGCTCAGCCCTCTCTGGCTATAGTGCTTTTGTACCTTTTGTATATAGTGACCATTATGCATATTTAGCACAAGCATACTTTGTTCAGGGACCAAGCCTCTGATTCCTAAATAGGCGAAGGAGAGTGTAGACACATTGTAGGCCTCACTGAAATACAGCTAGTCTGTTGGTGGTGCATTGGTGTGCTTGGGGCTGGGAAAGCTGGTTACATACACAAGTGGAAGCCTGGAATAACACTTGGGCTTGCCTTGTCTGCTGAGTGCAATGGCTTGCTTGGCTTTGATAGCCCACCGGACTCTTTGCCTGGCACCCTTGTGCACCTGTGGGTATGCTTGCTCATCCCTCTGCAGTCTCCGTGTAGACCAATAAACACTCCAAGCATAAAAGTGTAACATAGCACATTGAAAATAAAATTTCAGGAGAGTCCAAGATGGTGACTGAGCAACTGGCTCCAGTGACCACTCCCCACAGAGACCCCAATGGGAACAGCTCTGCACACACCAAGCCACCTTTGCAAGAACTGCAGAAACCAGGGGAGAGACCACAGTGCCCTACCTTGTTATAATCATAAGAAAAGTTGCATTGAAAAATTGCAAGCATTACCGTCCCCAGCTCCAAGTAGCCCAACATAGAGATGCCTCCAAGCAAACTGTAGCCCAGTGCCAGGCCCATTGCAAAAAAGGCAGTCGCACTCAGCACCCAGGTCCGTACATGTGCAGGGAGTATTTGGAGCCCCCACAGTCAGCTGGCCTCCAACAACCCTCTGTAAACCCCCAGAAAGCCAGACTCCAGCCTTGTGGAGAGGCCAGGACAGGGAGTTTAGGGCAGTGCCTCGTGGCTCAGAGCAGGGTTCTGTGTCAGCACCTGAACCCACTGAGGCCCAAAGGCCCTGGCCCCACACTGGTGCTCACGGACTGACTCTCTACACTTGCCTGCCATCAGTACAAGATCTCTGCTCCCAGGGTACAGACTTATTTTGCTGTACGCCCCTGCCAGCCTTGGATGTCCTGGGCTGAAACCTTAGGTATTTTGTAGGGACCTGTGACGATGGGAACCAGGTATAATGGGCCTGGGGCCAGTCAGGGCACCCAGGGGGCTGCCTTTAGTACTTTGTCCAAGCTTGGGAAGACAGCAAGGGGTCACAGTAGAGGGACTTAGTGCTGGGTTGGGTAAGTCCAATTCTGAGCGAGGCAGATCCTAATGGTTTCGGTTCTTAGATGGGTACCTGTGGGCAGTCTCTGGGCTTGCCCCACCATTAGGAAGAAACTTGTGCCCTGGAGACATAAACTTGTTTTGGGGTATATCACTACCACCTCCCTCAGACAAGCTGGGTACCTCAAGACTGCAGAGTGGTTACTGTGAGACACAGGTGTGACGCAGCAAGGGTCTGAGTAACTGAGAGGCTAGCCTGCCTGTACGACCCCTCCTATCACCTCGAGCAGACAGTAAGGAATCTCAGGACTACCTGGGCACTCACTGCAAGGTGGATAAACCCGGCACTGGGCAAATGGAAGTGGCTCCCGTTGCCAGGCCACTGCCTGCAGACAGAGTCTCTGAATGTGCTTCAGTGTCCAGGGGGGTTCTTGGGTTCTGGCTGAGCCGTCTTCTCACCTAGGCAGCACCACAGGAGCTTCTAGGAGCGGCACCTGCCAGGGAGGCCCCCCTCTCCCTTAACAGCAGACAGGCCACAGCAGGGTGGGCTTTGCTGCTACTCCTAGGTTGCACTGATCTTGGTGGGTTGAGGTCAAGTTCCAGGTGAAATCTAGCATTTGGCATTCTGGGACACAGAACAAGGAATGCTGAGGCTACTCCAGGCTTATGGGAAAAGTCTATCCCTGTGTAAATACATTTCCAATTTCTACTGAGCAACACCTCCACTGCAAATTTGGGGCTAATTTTGTTAGGCTAAATCAGTTAACACATATTGACGGGGTACCTGGAGTAAACCACAACTTAGGGTGCTATCTAGTCCTGAAATGGCAGAGGCATCTATAGGCTCAGAGAATTGAACAGACTGTTCAGAATTTCTAGAGGGACAGCCACAAACAAAGCCAGATTGCTATAATTAATTCTTTAATGTGTAGATTACAGTGTGTCTCAAGAAGCATGAAGAACTTCCAGGAAAACAGACTCACCTAAAGAACAAAAGAAGATACCAGAAAGCAACCATCTAGGAACTGAAATATCCAAATGTTTGGATAAAGATTTCAAAGCAGCTATTTTAAGGAAATTTGATGAAATGAAAGAGAACACAGAAATGGTTCAATATTCTGACAGAAGCATTTGATAGAGAGATAGAAGTAATTAAACAAAATCAAGAAGATGTCTTTCAACTGAAAATCATACCAAGCAAAATGTAAAATGTGGTGGAAGGCATTACCTTCTTTGGCGGAATAATCAAACAGAACAGAGTCACTGAGCTAAAAGGCAGGCTATTTAAAAATATACAGTCGGAGCTGAAAAGAGAAAAAAACAGAAATTAAGAAAGCTTATAGAAAATATGAAATAGCATGAAAACAGCAAATATTTGATACATGGAGGTACAAGAGAGACTTGAGAATGCCAAAAGGATATAGAATATATTCAAAGAGTTAATAACATGAACTTCCCAAACCCAGTACTCCCCAGGAACTGGAAGGCAAAGGCCCCCAGTCATACTCAACCCAACCAAGTGGACTCCAAGGAATATTGTAGTCAAGATCTCCAAGGCTAAACATGAACAGAGGATTCCCAGAGCTTCAAGAGAAAATAAGCATCTAACACACGAAGGGGCCCCAATTTGCCTGACAGCAGACTTCTCAGAAAAAAATCTTAGGGACCAGGAGGGAGGGAGAGGAGAACTCCAAAGGACTGTGGGAAAAATTGCCAGCCAAGAATAACATATGAGGTAAAGCTATCCTCCTGATATGAGGGAAACATGAAGACATTTCCAGATAAACAAACCTGAGGAATTTATCAACACCAGACCTAGGATTCAGGGATGCTAAAGGGAGTTCTGCAGACTGAAAGAAGGAGATGCTAACACGAAAGAAGGTATCACAAGGTACCACATTCACTAGTGAGACAGAGTATGCAAACAAATTTACAAAGCTTTAATATGAGCAAGGTGTGCACATCGTTTATCTCTTCATTATAAAGGCTAAGAAGTTATAATCCGTATATTAACATAATGAGGCAGGCACCATATAGAAAGAGATAAAATGCACAAGATACTTCACCTCTAAGAGCATACATAGACTAAGAGCAAAAGGACAGGATAACGTAGTCCATGCAAGTGGAACCCCAAAGAGAGCAGCGGCCACACTTCTGTCAGATAAAATAGATTTTAAATCAATAGCAATGTAGAGAGACCAAGAGGACATTGTAGAATGGGAAAGGGCTCAATCAAGTAAGAGGAAATTGCAGTTATAAATGTATATATATATGTACTCAAGACCTGAAGGGAGAGGTAG